TATATATATATATATATATATATATATATATATATATATATATATATATATATATATATATATATGCATCACAGATGTTTTGGTTGCTTTCTGTTTGCTTTTGCTTTCATTCCTTGCCAGACTGAAGAGGGTGGCTAGTCTGCGTTTATGAGGGCAATGCTGGTTGCATCTATTTTTTTTTCTACAGCAATATAAGATCTAGGAGTTGATGTGTTTCAAGTATTTCATGTTTCCGCTTAAGTCTCTGTTCACGTTTCAGCTGTTTGTTCTGGTGTATCCTCATCGGTGACTAAGAAAGCAACTGTCTAGCAGCGTTTTATAAATTAAATCGGCGTTATTTTCTCGGTTTCATAGTGAGGAAATCTTTGGGGGCGTCCAGCTGCAGAGCGTCGATGCCCCCAAGCAGAACACAAACACAGGCAACCCCTGCGTTCACAAGCCGCCTCGCGAGCCCCCCTCCGCAGTCTTCTTTATCTCCTACTATAACAATTAGAGGCAAACGGCTCATCGTCGCTGAAATCCATGGTTTTAGTGGAGCAGAAGGGGGGCCCTGGCCTCCCCTTCCTTGTGCTGCTGCATGTTGAGCCTCTGCAGCTGCAGNAGTGGAGCAGAAGGGGGGCCCTGGCCTCCCCTTCCTTGTGCTGCTGCATGTTGAGCCTCTGCAGCTGCAGCTGCTGCTGTAGCAGAAACTGTTGCTGCTGCTGTTCCCGCTTCTGCTGCTGCTGCTTGAAATGCTTCAAACGATGAAGCGCCAGATGCAGCACGAGTCATCTTGCTGATAAGGGGTCGACTGCTGCCACCGAATTTCTGCATTTGTATATGCACGCCTTTGGGGTCAGGGAGCGTCATTTGTCCTTCTTTAAGGAGGCTGATCAGCTCGCATACATCTTTAGGAGTGACGTTAATAGCCTTGTTTAGATGCATAAGTTCAAATGAAGCCCGGGGGCGGATATCTAGCACGACGCTTTCCTCATAGAACTGCAGCAACAAATCCACCCCAATGCAAGGAGGCTGCAGCGCCAGACCCTCCCCTCTTGTATCTGGGGTTTCTGTACACTGCGCAACGCCCCCTGCTGACCACGCAGAAGAAGTCGTAGCCAGAAACGCCATTTCACTCATCTTATCCCACCACCGAGGAGCCAGGGGCTCGCTAGAGTACAGTGCCGCCATGGGGTCGATGCATCTGCACACGGAAACACGAAAGAGAAAGCAAAACCCAAAAAAATAAAAAAAAATGAGATAAAAGAAATGTTGAATTGGCGTAATCAGAACAAATACACACACGTAGAAACAGTAAGCAACGAACACCACGCGGTTTCAGTGAAACAGAGAGAAAGCGTTTCAGCTTTCTTTTTAAAAACTAAGCTCAGGGGTTTTTGTTGTATCGTTGATACAAATAAACTTCTTTCTATCCTCCTCAGCAAGCAAAATACAAAGAACTTATATATTATACTTCTCTAATATAACAGCGACGATCTAACTATAGGCAGCAGCAACATGCATCATATAAACACAGCTGCTGAGTAAGAATAAACGCTTACTGCTGCTGCCTCTAAACAGCAACGCCAAACAAACAAACATAATTGTTGAATCGATAACAAAAGAAATATCATATTCAACATCGGCAACAGAAAAAAAAAAAAGAAAAAACATGAATTTCATCTCCACGCTTCAGCATGAACAACACACAACAACAGAAATAGCAAAACGAAAAAGGAAAAAACAACAGAAAACCAACAAAACAAACAAAAGCAACAGGAAGAACAACAAAGATTACATAGAACAACTGAAACGAAAACAGAAACAGAAAAGGAAACAGGACGGAGGAGATGCATAGCCTATGTTCCCCTGAAAGCATTGACCCAATAAAATATAATTCTGCATAATATATTATATTAAAACAATTTAAATAAAACTTTTTGCATAAAAAAGAAGAAATAAAGGCCCCCCCTCTCACTGCGCCCCGTCCGCCTTCGTCTTCGCCTGTGCAGCTTTCGTTGCTGCTGGTTTCCTGGGGGAACCCAAAAGGATCATGGCGGGGCCGGTCATCACTCTCATCAGCGCCTTTGTACTCCAGCTGGGGCTCTTACGCGCTCCTCCTCCTCCTCCTGCTTCTGCTGCTGCTGGTTCCTCTCCGCTGGGGGAGGAAGCGCTGCCTGAGAGACGAGCAGCGGCGGCTTGTCC